TAAATTATTCACACGGATATACAGAATGTCCGTTTTTTTTTTACGTTCAGATGCCACCGAAATGTCAACGAAAAAGCTGACAGGCAAAGCTGGTCGGAAGAAAACATGGCCGAAGCAATAGAAGTAGTTTTGAAGAGGTAAATAGGTTATAGAAGAGCATCGGCAGCATACAGGGTGTCCTAAAATGGTTACTCCCGGGAAATAAGGGGTTCCTGACATCATTTGAAGAAACTTTTTCCCTAGCGAAAATGCAATCCGCAGCTTTGTTTAAGAGTTATTAACGATAAACGGTAACCAATGAGAGGCGAGCTCCGCTGGCGCAAGGCGGCTGAGCCAATAAGCGGAACTGAGCTTCGACCACTCGTTGGCTCGGCCGCCTCGCGCCAGCCGAGGTCGCCTATCATTGGTCAGCGTTTTTCGTTAATAACTTATTAACGATGCCTCGAGAAAAATTTTTGTGAAGGAAAAACTTACTTCGTACGACCTCAGAAAGAGGATTACCCGAGCGAATATAATTTCGGAACACCCTTTATTTATGTTCCTCGAATCACACTAGACAATAAAAACAACAAGAATTATTGAAAAGTAATACTAGATTTTATTATTAAAAGTACATTCTCTCGATCGAATAAAGTATTTTATTTTCAAAAATACACGCATGATTTAAAACAAGATATCTATTGGGTTGGCAACTAAGTAATTGCCGATTTGTTCGATGAAATAAAAAATTTTCTTTTACTTGGAATGAAGTTTAATCTGTAATGTATTTTCCATTTTGTTCGACGACCTTTTGCCATCTCTCTGACAACTTGAAAATTCCACGCTCGTAGAAAGTCTGATCCTTTTCGGCCAAAAACTGAGTTAAGTGAGATTTTACAGCGTCATCATCGTTAAAAGTTTTACCACGAAGGGAGTTGTCCAGGGATCGAAATAAGTGGTGATCCGATGGCGCGAGATCAGGGCTATATGGTGGGTGTAACATCAATTCCCAACCAATATCCATCAATTTTTGCCGAGTGGACAAAGACGTGTGCGGCCTAGCATTGTCCTGCTGGAAAATGACACCTTTACGATTGACCAATTCTGGTCGCTTTTCCTTGACCGCTGCATTCAATTTGTCCAGTTGCTAACGTTCACGGATAATAAAAAATAACATAATAATAATAATAATAATTTTATAATATAACATTTACGGATATCGTAAAAATGGGAGTGAGAGACATCTGTAACTGAAATCGGCAATTACTTA